TCTGAATTATTCTTAGACACTACAATAGGTCATCCAACTGATTAGGTTGCTTTTCAAGATAGCCTTATAATGTTTATTCAGTTGAGTTGAGGTTTGATGATGAGGCTGATTACATTTGCAAACAGCATATTTCATTAACATAAATTACAAGGCACTGCATGCATAAAAGTTTCAACTTAGAATCTCCCCCGCTGTGTCATGTGAAGCTCTAAAAAGTCTGAACCTCTCTGAAACAAGAGCTGTCTCATTTCAGTGTAGACACTCTGATGATGCTGAAGTTGATGTAGCCGCCATTATGTCGCCCATTTGTTTTGGGTTTTGCGTTTTTAGCTTCAGTGCTACCTCCTTGGCCCGCATAAATATTTAGAGGCGAGGCTAGAATGTATGTCACGAGCTAACATTCGCAAGTACCCCGAGGAAATGCAGTTTCCTCTTTCATTTCTTGAGTGTGCGTCTTGGTTAGCATGAGCATGCTCAAATGCAGAATCAAAATAAGTATATTTACCTGGTACAAAAAGGTGTTTTTAGCATCTGGCTTCCACTACAACTCAACAACATTAGTGCTGCTGATATTTACTTGTTTGTGATTTTGTGGGCGATTTCCTGTCTTTAAACTGGCAAACGAATAAGATTAAGTTCCTTCAGAGGGCGTTCAGCACAGATTTAGATCACACATTAGATTGTTGATGAGATTGGCACTCTGTCAGTAAAAGTGAACTGAATCGAAATAGTTTGGCTCAGCATCAGCGCTACAGTCATGAGTAAACGTTTCTGTTCTCTCCGTGAGATTTCTTATGCAACACCTGCTTTGGCACCTATTTCACGGTGCCAAAGGAATGTAAAACCTGCTGCAGGGAGCTCTGTGAGGATTTAAATGACAAGCCGGCAGCAAGGTTGATGACTTCCTGGAGTTTTTTATCACCTTTACCCAGAAAAGTAGCTTAGAGTCAAAAGACTCTGCAGTTGTGTGGTTCCGCACACATTAGCTTCAGCTGCTGGTTTGTTTGTTTTGGATTTTTTTTTTTTTACATCAGTCATGTAGATTTATCATGTAGGGTTGAGTCATCCTGCAAGAAAATGGTAATGTTAAATAAAAACCTTTGTGAATAATAAAAGGATACATTTGAGTTTTGTATAATCTGTTCAAAGTGGTTTCTGTTTTACAAATGCAGTGAATGGCGGTGCATTGTTTAGTGCTGGCACTTTTTCTGCAGAGTTTGTGAACAGGTCAGAGCTGTTGTTTGTTACGTTTCTTTGTTCTCCCTGTGCCTGTGTGGCATTTCCTCCCAGCACTCTGGTATCCTCCAAAGGCATGTTTGGCAGTTTAACTTGTGATTCTAAACTGGTTATGGGCATGTTTGTGGGGGTGTATGGTTGTCTTTAACTCTATGTCAGCTTCACGCTTTATTGAGAGGATAAACGGTCAAAAATGAATACACTACCAGTCAAACTTTCTCATTTAATGGTTCTTCTTTATTTTTACTACTTTCTACATTGTAGATACATACTGAAGACATCAAATATAGAGAGCGGGATATATGGAATTATGCAGCAAAGCAAAAATACTGATAAATAACTCTGAATATATCTTATATTTTAGATTCCTGAAAGCAGCCACCCTTTGCTTTGCCGACGGCGCTGCAAACCCTTGGCCTTCTTTCAGTGAGGTTCGTGATGTAGTCAAATGAAATGGTTTTCACTTCACATGTGTGCCTTCTCAAGGTTCATTGTGAGACCATCAGATGTGTTGTGCAGAAGTCAGGTTGGTACACAGCTGACAGCCCTATTTGACAGCGATTAGAATTCATATTATGGCGAGAACCAATCAGCTAAGTAAAGAGAAACAACAGTCTGACTGCTTGCTCAAAGGGGGTCATGTGATTGTTGGGTTTTCCTCTGTATGTATTATTGTAGGGTCTCTGCCTTGCAACATAAATCACCTTGAGGTGACTGTTGCTGTTATTTGTTTCTGGATAAATAGAATTGAATCATTAGTTTAAGAACTGAAGCTCAGTGAGTCCGGAAAATTGCTAAAACTTTGAATGTGTCCTCAAGTGCAGTGGTGAAAAACCATTAAGCGCTGTGATAAAGATTAGGGCCCAGATAAATGCCACACAGAGTTCCAGGAGCAGACACTTATTTACATCAACTGATCAGAAGAAACTGTGCGAATCAGATCTTTATGGTCTAAAACCACTGATAAGAAACCATTGCTAAGGAAAAGCAACAAGCAGAACAGCTTTGTTTGGGCAAAGAAACACAAGGGATGAACATTAGACCTGTGAAAATCTGTGTTTTTGTCCAAATTTGAGATCTTCGTTTCCAGTCGCCGTGTCTGTCTGCGACACAGAAAAGGTGAACGGATGGTCTCTACTTGCATGGTTCCCACCGTGAAGCATGGAGGAGGAGGTGGTATAGTGTGGGGGTGCTTTGGTGGTGACACTGTTGGAGATTTATTCAAAACTGAAGGCAACATGCCTTCCCATCCAGTTTAGTTCTACCATCATTTATTTTTCAACAATGACCCCAAACACACCTCCAGGCTGTGTAAAGGCTATCTGACCAAGAAGGAGAGTGATGGAGTGCTGCGCCAGATGGCCTGGCCTCCACAATTGCCTGACCTAAACCCAATCGAGGTTCGGTTTGAGATGGACCGCAGAGTGAAGGCAAAAGGCCAACAAGTGCATCTCTGGGAACTTCTTCAGGAATGCTGGAAACCTATTTCAGCTGACGACCTCATGAAGCTCATCGACAGAATGCCAAGAGTGTGCAAAGCAGTGATTAAAGCAAAGGGTGGACATTTTGAAGAATCTAAAGCATGAAACATGTTTTGAGGTATTTCACACTTTTTTATTTACTACATAATTCCATATGTGTTCATTCATAGTTTTGATGGCTTCAGTGAGAGTCTACAATGTAAATAGTCATGAAAGTAAAGATAAACCATTAAAGGAAAGGTGTGTCCAAACTTTTGACTGGTAGTGTACACGTGAAGGTATGAAAAAAACTCAAAGCAAAAATGTGTGACAGCTAAGTCTGTATGAGTTCCCTCTTTTACCTTTAAATTAACTAATAAATTAAAGTGAATGGTGGCACAGTGGGTAGCACTGTTGTTGCGAAGCAAGAAGGTCCTGAGTTCCGGCTTCCTCCCACCGTCCAAAGACATGCACCCCCTGCGACCCTGAAGAGGATACGTGGATGGATTGATTAAACTGGCATTAGCAATAAAAACAAGACTACAACTTATGTTCAATACTAATTTGTATTATATGCTGATTAAAAAATATAATATATGAAAATAAAAGAATGAAACTAATAACAGCATTCTCATTATAAAGCATTGTATTTAACCTTTGCTTATTTCTTTTATTCTTACCTGAAAGGCCTCACAACTAGTTTTTGAATTCAGTCTGTTTTTTAACTTACCAACCAGACTTTTAGTAAAATCTAAAAAATCATTTCAAGCCAGTGTTATTCACTGACGAAGAAAAAAAGCATTTAGATCCAGTTCATTTGTTCTCTCATAAATGAAAAGTGTCACCTTAGACCCTGTTTTAAGGAATGTGTTTGCCTCTTGTTTTCCATTCTTCTTTGCCAATGAGTCTTGTAATCTCTGCAGGCAGTTTCATTTCACCTGCAAGAAACTCCCCCTGGTATCATGTGTCACCTCGACTGGATAATCTAATCTGCCCTGATTTTTTACGACTCATTCACAAATGTTGTCCAAAGAGAGACGTTCTCTACCAAGTAAGTATTAATCCTTTTTTTATGTATTTTAACTAATTCTACATGCTGGTAATTGTTAACAGTCTCGTTTTCTTTCAAAAAAGGTTATAAATCATATGCATCTTTTTATCAGGGTAATCAAGTCATTTAAATGTAAATAATGTTGCTTAGAAAACCTTCAACAAATTGCTCACATAGTAAAAGTTACTTCTTTACTTAATGCTTAAAGAAATTTACAAAAGCAAAATTTTGACTAACAAAAAAAAAAAGTGCTTATTATGTAAAAAGGCTCATTTGGGGTATCTAAATTTTTATTACTATATCTATCTATATAAAAAAAAAGTGAATACAACAATTAATTCATTTTATTAGTTTAAACAAAAATTATTATATTTTGTGATTTACAGTTTCTACACCTTACTACTAAATGCTTTCCTCTGTTTTTCTTTCTGCATCTGACAAGCTGTAATTTATAAGCAATCTATGCCACTTGTAGCTAGAAGCTAACAGGTAACACGAGTTTCCAGGCAAAAAGGAGAAAGAAGAATATTAATAAGGAAGTACTAGAATAACTGCAGCACTCCATGAATGCAGAAGCATAAAGTGTCGGAATATGAATCTGCTTTTATTGGGGAAACCACCAAAAATGCTTCTTGGGTGCTTTTCACTGTCATCCAGGAGACTGTTTAACAATATTAAGTCATCCTAATCTGGGGAGTCTTACAGAATACAGAAGAATGTACCGAACACATATGCTCAGAAGCACATAAAATGTGACACTAAAAAAAAGAGGTGGGATTATTCCAAACAGTCCATTTTGTCCGTTAACACCCGTAAAGTTTTCTGTTTTAATTCTGCAAAGCTATGAATCTGGTCTCAGCAGTGCCACGTGACTTGATGATGGCACATGACCTACAGAAGCTCCTGTTTGAACCAACATTCTTGGCAGCTGTTGTGGAGCTGTTCAAACTTGTCAATCTCACAATTGTTTGGTTTTCACAGCAAACTAAAGTAGGAAGCGTGACTCCACATGTGACAGAAGATACAATGCGTGTAACACTGCTGATATGTCCGTTTATGTCTTAATAGAACTATTATAATCATATGTTACTGTCGCTGCTGTTTTTCTTGCATTCTCAAATGATAGAAATTTAAATGATTTTTTAGGGATAAGCACATTTTACTTTATGTTTAATGTGTCAAAGAGAACATGTTTCTTGTGTTTTCTAAAACAGCATGACTTTATGTGAACCTGCAGTAATGACTTTGTTCTTTCCAGCCGTTTGGGGTGAGGTGAAGCTTCCAGGATGTTGTACATGTTGACATGTTTGAGTTTGTTCTGTGCTCTACAAAGAAGTGTTTCATCAGATGAAGGTATTTCTATACTGCTTGTACCAGATATGTTACTAATAGACATGAGCGCTCTAAAGGAAGAAGAAATTGAACATCAAATATTTCCTTTCTTTCAGCTGTGTCACTTAATTGCAACAACACTGTCAGTGCTACAGCTGGAGAAAATGTGACTCTAAATTGTTCCATAACTTCGACTTTTGGAGGGAAAGTGTGTACTGGTCAAAAGTATGACTGGCATAACACAAATGGCAACAAACTATGTGAAACTGATGCCACAAAATACACTTGTGCATGGGATGCCCTTACCTACCTGTCACTGACCATCTCAAATGTCCAAGAAGAGGCAAATGTCACAGCTGAAATCGTGTCAATCTGTGGAATGGTGAAATCACTTCCTGTCAGAGTACAGCTAATCATTGGTGAGTGTATGTTTAGTTCAGATATCCAGAATAAATTGTTTTCATTGCCACTGTTAAAATAACTGCAATTTACTATCCAGATCCAAAAACGGACGTTTTCCAACCAACAACACCACCAGATAACGGTAAGCTGAAAGACAACGACTTAACCATTGTACATTGTTACATATTGTAACAAATGTTATTCAGTTAGAATAACTGTATTCCACTTCCACACGTGAATCAGGTCCAAGACCAGAACCCAGCGGGCAGCAGGAGGAGTCAACACACTTGACCACCATTGTACTTTGTGTTTTTGCCTCTGCTGTAGTTGTGTTCATTTTGTATTTCCTGTATAGAACTTACAGACGCAGAGTAAGAGAGAGGACAGTGACATACACTGCACCAGTCAGTAAAGACTTCACGGTTGTTTAAAAATTTATTTTTTCTTTGTATGATTGTTTATCAGTGCGAGGGGAATATGAATGTATATGAATGTATGTGACATATTTTCCATTTGTAAAAGATGCTGCTCATCACTGCTGACTCTTTGATCATCATATTGTTTGTTTGTTTTTTATTAACCTTTTTTTTTTTTAGACTTCTTTGATGTCTTATATACAATATATAGATATACAATAACAGGATGTGAATAACAGAGCGTTCACATGACTTTCAGTCTGCTCAGTAAAATGAAACAATTTTGGGGAAATTTAAGAACATTTGGGACTGAACCTGTTATGTGTCTGATGAATGTCTACAGATTTGTCACAGCTCTGACTCTTCATTGTGTGAACATCAGGTCAATTTTGTTTACTTATCATCCACGATCTAATAGGGAAATGATCCAAAGTTGGATTACATACTTACTTTGTAAATCCACTGATGTTTCTGTACCTTGACTTCTTTACATAATTGTGACCACAGCTCACAGTAAAAATCATCCAACTGTTACTTTAGGCTGTGATGGATGAATGAATGGACAGATGGGACTCTCGTGGGCTGTGGATAATGCATTTCCCTGTTCCACACATGGATTTTTTGCCACCTGTGTAGCATTATTATATGTTAACTCAAGTAAACTCAAAGACTGTGGCAAGACAGTCCGTCCACATCGTTACATCATTACAGTGCTGCTGTTTTTGTTGCACATTGGTTGGCACATTATCAGACATATACTTCCTTCAGAAATGACAGAGAGCAAAAAAAGAGCAAAAGGAAGATTGACTGGTAATATTTTTCCAGGCCTACGTGTAAACCACTGTTTGTTAAGATGTTAGCCCAAAATTAAATGTCAGTGTTGTGTTTATAGATGTTTACAGCTAACACCTAATGCTGGAGTTAAAAGAGTCACTTGTCACTACAGAATAACTGTAAATGTAATAACTGTGTAAAATTGAACAGTGTTTTGTTCAAAATACACTCAACTTGTAACAAGTCTTTCAATCAAATGTGTCATGGGTTTTTTTTCATCCCATTTGAAACTATTCCAGCCTCCTGAAATGACCCATACGAGCATTTCTCCCTGAAAGGATTAAAGAGAATCTGTGTTAGGTGAACCTTTAGGTCAAGTGACATACAAAAAAAAGTTTTTAAAAATTCTTTCATGTAGTTTCAAAAGACGGTGAAGCTTCCATGATTGACTCAAACATATCCACAGGTAGAACACCTGGAACCTGGAACACACTGGAACCATCATCTTTTCTATTATCCCTTCACTTTCAAGCCTCAACAGTTACTTTTTCACAAGAGGCATGAAAGGTTTAGGTACTCGTCTGACTGCGTGAACTGCATATGGCTGTGCATCTTGTTTAAGAATTATTTTAACTGGTTCAGTTTTTCATAGTCTACTTGTACCAAAACGGTACTGATGTTTTCCACTCATCTGCTGAGTAAACTGCTATTTTGCCCTTTAAACATTATAGACTTTAGGAAGTGTATTAAAGGTTTCTTCACTTCTTACAGTCACATATGGTCCAGTATCTATTTTTAATGTCAGAGGAACATCATCAATGTTCATGGTGACAGTTCACTTATCCTGGCTATTTTTTTTTTTTTTTTTTTTTTTTTTTGCTGTTTTTGAAGTCACCTCATGCATGAGAATATCACCGGGTTAACACGAGACATTATTTTATGTATACTGTTGGCCAAGCACAATAAAAATGACCGTTTTTAAATTAACTTTGCAAACATCACAGATGAAATATTTGGGGTTTTATTTCCTGGACTGAGCCACTGTACTTGCTGTCATTGCTGAACATCTGCCCCCCTTCCTTCTCTCACATAATGAGCCCAGTCTACCACTGCATCTGATTGGCCGAATGGTGTTCAAAATAAAGTCTCAGCAGGGCTGATGGCTATTAATAACTGAAATTATCTCACAGACCAGATGTGGCTCACGGGCTGTATGTTTGTCACCACTGACCTAATCTGCCCTGTTTGTTATGACTCCTTTTCAAATGTTCTCCAAAGACAGAAGTTCTCTGCCAAGTATCACTGGTTCTTTTACATATTTTAACAAAATTCTCTTCATGCTAGTGTTATTTGGCTTTTCTTCCCTTGACAAAGTCATGAAACATATGCATATTTTTATATGCAATGCAAGTCTAATAATGCAAATAGATTTGTTTAGATAACCTAAATTGCTCACAAAGTTTTATTTAAGAAAATTAAGTTTACAAAAGTAAAATGCTGAGTATCAAAATTAAAAGTTCTTATTATGTAAAGAGACGAACTAATTTAAACAAAATTTATTACATTTTGTTATTTAGTGTTTCTTACAATAACTACTAAACTTTTTGCCCTGTTTTTGCACAATATGAGATTAGATGTCACATTTACAGGCATTCTCTTTTATCTGGAAACTGACCAGTTATTCTGGCAATAAAAAGTCTGTTAATTACAAATCCTCTGAGGACTGTTACACAATAACATATTTATGGGCAGAGATAAATGAGAATTCTGCTGCTGCTTCTGTAAAGTCTATAAAATGTTACACTAAAGGAGAGCAGTTAACGTTATTGTTATTGAAGTTATCTATGTATTTGTGCTGAAATGTGGGAAAAACTCAAATAAACAGAAAGCTTGCATGCTATCTTTGCACTTAACTGTTTCTAGTATTTATCTCTGCTGTTTCTTTTGCACTCTCAAATATGAGAAATGTTTAAATCTGTATTTTCAGTAATCAGTATACAGTATACTTACAACTACTACTCAAAGAAACATGAACTAAACTTAGCACAAAGGACATTTGTGTTTGGCCAATTATGTCTTTCTTGTAACAATGCTTAATGCCAATAAAGCTTATGTAGCAGGATACTTGCTCAGCTGGTGTCTGCTCCAAGTATGCCATGTTTCACTGATCTGATTAGGGTCTGTGCTATAGGGCAACTTCAAGCTGGCAAGTTGCAGCATTACTTGGATCTGCTCATAGCCAGTGTCCGGCCTCATAAGGCTTGTCATGATTCACGGCCAGACCTGTTTGCGCTGGTGTCAGCAACATGTGCACTCTAACCTGAATATGCAGAGGAACATTATGTTTAGCGATGTGTATTTGCGAGTGGAGAGGATGGCATGGCCTGCCTGCAGACTTGACTTTTTGAACACTTGTGGGATCAGCCTGGGCGTGCTGTTCATATCAGAGTGACCAGCACAACTACACTGGCTGACTTGCAGTGAATGCTTGTTGAAGAATGGGATTCTACAGCAGTTTGTGACCAAGGTAGTGAAGAAGAGGTGCAAGGCTGTTGTGGCTGTGTTTGGTTCTTTCATATAAATAGGGTTCAATTGCCAGTATGTCGTGTTTCTTCAGACTTATCACTGGTGGAGAATATCCACCAATCCACATGCTCAACTCTGCTGCTCAACCCAAAAATGCATTTGACTGACAAATGTTGCACCATTTAAGGGGAATAAACCATATAAGATTTCACTGCCATGAAGCATTGTTACAATAATGATGTAATCAAGCCAGTAATCAGATTTTGAGATGACTTTTTCATTTAAAACAAATATACAGGCAAAACCCTGTTTCTTGATTCATATGTGTTTTTTTTCTTTCCAGTAATTTCAAGTGAAGTGAAGCTTCCAGAATGTCCTGTGTGTGGAAATGGTTAAGTCTGTTCTGTGCTCTACAAAACAGTGTCTCATCAGTACAAAAGTATGTACCAAAAAGCATGACAACTCTAAATACATAAGGAAGAATAAATGTAATAATATATTAAACAATATTTTAATATTTTTTCTCTTTCAGTGGTGTCACTTAATTGCAGTAACCCTGACTATGTTACATTTGGAAAAAACGTGACTCTAAATTGTTACATAAATTCAAAAGGGGGCTCAGACTGTAGAGCTCTAAATTATTCCTGGATAAACCAAAATCATACCAAACTCTGTGGCTTGTCACAATACGGCTGTAAATGGGATCCCCCGAATAGCTTGTCAGTGACCATCTTAAATATCCAAAGAGAGGAAAATGTCATAGCTGAAATCGTGTTAAACTGTTGCGTCCACTTACAGAGTGAGTATCTATCAGCATCTTAAAATTTATGTGTTTGAATGAGTGTATGTTTTGTTCAGACATACATAAATTGTATTCAGTGCATCTGTTAGAATAACTGTGTTGTACTTTGTCAGGTGGACCAGCTCCAACACTAGGTCACATCATTAGGCCCGAGGAGTCAACACGCGTGACAACCATTGTACGTTGTGTTTTTGCCTCTGCTGTTGCTGTAGTAATTTTGTATTTCCTGTATAGAACTTACAGGTACAGAGTAAGTGAGAGGACGGTGACATAGACTGCACCAGTCTGTAGCAGAACATAAATGCATATGTTTGCTGTTTGTGAAAGATTCGGCTCATCAGTTACCACAACTGACTCTGTACATAGAGAATAATTTTTAGAATTCTTTGATGCAGTCTAATATGCATACAATAATAGGATGTGAATAATAAAGCATTCCACGTGACTTTAGTCTCCTGAGTAAAAGGGAAAGACTATGGGTCAAACTTGGGAATGTGAATTTCTTGCCTGATGAATAAACATTTAAGAAAAAATAGGACTGTACCTGTATGTGTTGTAAAACGGAGTCTAATTAATGTCCACAGAGTTGACTTCTCATCCATGTTCTCATTATGTGAAGTGACGAG